CTCACAGGGGCTGTTTCACATTATATATATTTTATCTCAATAAAAAAACCTCGTCACATATGATAGTATAAAATAATTTGCCTTTAAAACCCTCCAAAACCTTGTGACTACTTTCCCTCTCAGTGATTTCCTGTTTATTTGCTTTTCTTATAGCAAAACCTGCCAGCTGCCTGTTTTGTCTCTTTTCTCCCTTCTTTCCTACACCTGCTAGGACCCACTTTGCCCCTACCCTTCCGTGGAAGCTGCTCTCGGCAAGGTCAGAGGCGACCTTCACAGAGTTGTACCCATGGTCAACCTCCGCGTCATTGACATACTCTTCTTTCTCCTAAAGTCACTGTCACCACATGGCTTTCAGGACACCAGCTCGCTCGCCCACCTCTGACCTCATTGGCTGTTCCTTTTGTCTCCATTACTGATTCCTCCTCTTGTTCAGGAGTTGCTCATGTTGGAGGGCTGGGCCCTTCCACCTACCCTCACCTTGGTGATCTCATTCTATCTCATGGTTTGTTTGTTTTTTAATAGATTTTTATTGATTTTTTTACAGAAAGGAAGGGAGAGGGATAGAGAGTTAGAAACATTGATGAGAGAGAAACACTGAACAGCTGCCTCCTGCATGCCCCCTACTGGGGATTGAGCTTGCAACCAAGATATATGCCCTTGACTAGAATTGAACCCGGGACCCTTCAGTCTGAGGGCTGACGCTCTATCCACTGAGCCAAACTGGTCAGGGCCTATCTCGTGGTTTTAAAGACCCATCTAGATGCTGACAATTGTCAACTCTGTATCTCCAGTCCAGATCTTTCCCCGAATTTCAGAGCCATATACAACCCATCACCACTTGGGAGTCTACAGTGTATTTATCTCAAACTTAACATGTCTTGCTCTTCCCTCAGACCTGTGTCCACATCTGTTGCCCCTCAGAACTGATGTGTGGTTCCCCAAATCTCTTTCCCTGTCCTCTGGGCACCCAGCAGCTGGGTGTGGACATGTGAATGGGCAGGAGCACTGTCACCCCTTCCAGACCTGGCCCACGGAAACCCATCACTTGATCCTCCACCTGCCCAGGGCGATCTCGGAAGGCACAGATTAAAGATGGCACAGCTCCTACCAGCTGAGTCCCTGACGACTGATGGAGCAGAGCCCCCAACCCACCTTGTGCCAACTGGACTTGATGTAAATGAGTAATACACTTCTATAGGTCAGGCCACTGGGGGATTAAGGGTGTATCTCTCCAGCAGCTGGTATATGTAACTGTTCTGTGTTTTCTTAGATTCTGGATTTATCTATTCAGCATCCATTCATCATAGGGCCAGTTGTTATTATTTTTTAAAATATGTTTTTATTGATTTCAGAGAGAGGAAGGGAGAGAAAAAGAGGGATAGAAACATCAGTGATGAGAGAGAATCACTGATTGGCTGCCTCCTGCATGCCTCCCACTGGGGATCGAGCCGGCAACCTGGGCATGTGCCCCTGACTGAAATCAAACCCGGGACCTTTCAGTCAGCAGGCCAATGCTCTATCCACTGAGCCAAACCAGCTAGGGCAGGGCTAATTATTTTAGCTATATTTTCTTACTTTAAGTATTCTTGACACTCTGGCCTTGTGGCCTGTCTGACTGGGAAGACACCGCCCCTCCCAGGTCTAGCCAATTCTTAGAGCTCAGGCTCCCACTCCTTATGCCTTTCACATACAAACAACCCATCCAGAGCCCACACCCCTGCCACCTCCTGACCCAACTCTCAGTGTCACATCAGCATTTCCCTCCCCGTGCCAGACAACTCGGACAGCCTCAGGCCCCGAGCCACTGGCATGATTTAAACTAGCCATTCCTGAACGGTTTGCCCTGCCCGGTACTGAAATCCCAATGACTCTGGCCTCGCTTCCCCTTGCTCCTTTTGCCTCCTGGCCGAAACCTCGTGCCCCAGCGTGGGAAATACAATCTTCTTGCAGTGGCATTGGCCAAGCCGTGTCTTCGTTTAGTCACCTCCATAAATTAAAATTAAAATGAGATGGTAACCTTAACAAACACAGTGGTCACTCCACCCTCTAGCTGCTGAGGCCGCAAGTCTCGGCTAGAATCCCTCTGGACTGCCCTGCTGTTGCACTGCACACCCAGCCTGCCAGCAAACACTTTTGACTCTGCCTTCAAAAGGCAGACACCCCACTCCTTTCTCTGTTCCTTCTCTGCCACTCCTTGGGCTTCACAGCAGCCTCCTCGCTGGTCTCCCTGCTTGCTCGCTTGGTCCCTTTCAGACCCTTTAGAAACCTAAACATGACGCTGCCCCTCCTCTGCTCACACCCTCTGATGACTCCTCTCGCTCTGAGTGAAAGCCACAGTCCTGATGACAAGGACCAACAGGTCCCAGAGGGTCTGACTCTCCCCGCCCCCCCCCAAGGATGTTGTCACCTTTATCCTCCTTCCTACGATGCACCTCCTTGCTTTTCCTCTAGCACAGCTGGCTCACGCCACTACTTCCAGGTCTTTGCTCAAAGGTCACCTGCTTGATGAGGTTCAGCCTATCTTTTTTTTTTTCCAAAATATATTTTATTGATTTTTTACAGTGAGGAAGGGAGAGGGATAGTTAGAAACATTGATGAGAGAGAAACATCGACCAGCTGCCTCCTGCACACTCCCTACTGGGTATGTGCCCGCAACCAAGGTACATGCCCTTGACCAGAATCGAGTCCACAGGCCGATGCTCTATCCACTGAGCCAAACGGGTTAGGGCCTGACCACCTTTTTTAACAGTTGCGGCCCAGAGCCACAACTGGAACTCATACCCCTGGTCTGCTCTTTCCTTCCCCTCAATGCTTACCACTTAACATAACATCTAACATTAGGTGTATTCTTTATGATGGCTGCCGTACACCCCATCCCAGCAAGAACACAGGCCGTTCTTAGGCTTTCTCATCAGGTGTGCACATTTGCATCCCCAGCGCACAGTAAGTGCTCACAATATTTGCTAAATAAAAGGAAAAGTCCTGGTGAACATAAGCACGGAATAGCATTGTCCCTTCTTATTTCCCAAGGGCTTGACGTTCCGCATGGGGTGGGTTTTTACTGGCTCCATCTGCACACTAACCAAGAACCAAGGCTGGTATTTTGCTATTTTGATGTCATGCTATTGAAAGCCTGCACTGCCTCTACCCTGTGGGAACCACACTCAGCGCCTGAGAGCCTTCCTCTTATTCCAGTGGGAGGCTCGCTCGCCCACTCGGACTTCCTGTACATTGTTTCCCCTGGGAACTTTAAGGCACTCGGGGATCGAGATCAAACTCGTCTGGGGAATTGCCAAACTTCAGCAGTTTTCAGAAGCTCCCAGGTGACTCCAATGTGCAGCCAAATTTGAGACGCTCCCCTCCAGACAGTGGCAGTTAGAGGAGGTGTGGAGGGCAGGGCTGTTGAGCAATTATGCAGAGAAACAATGACTAACGCAGTGAATGATGAGGCAAGCCCAAAAATCAGAGGGAAAAATAAACCTGAACTTGGGCAAATGCTTCCCTACAGAGGAAAAAAGCCTTCCATGATTCCTGTTATATACAAACGGGAAACTTCATTCTTCAGATGTTTTGGAAGGAGAATCTGGAGGGAAAAGCTTCTCAATTGCAATCTAATTCCCAGGCACTTGTCCCATGTCAAAGCCAGCCGTGGGTCTCAGGAGAGCAATGCCGTGCCTTCCTCCTCTGGCGCGGCTAAGCCAGCGAGGACGGCAGATGTTTATCATTTCCCCTTTGTTCTGTCCTGCATTTGGTTTCACAATGAACAACTCTACACATTTCTACTGTTCCTATGGATGGCTTAAAAGCAAAGCAAGCCAAAGGTTAAAAAGTGGGGACCTAAGAACTAAGATATGAAAGAGGGGTTAGCTTTGGGGATCAGAAAATGCCAATTTCCAATCTATTCCAGACTGTAGGAGGGCGTGGCGCACCATCCCAATGCCACTCTAGTGCCACACTGCAGGCAGCAAGCCTCGGCATTATTCAGCAAGAACTGCATTTCATGTAGTGGAGCATTTTTATATTTATAAAGTGCTTTTAGGAAAAGCACTGACTGCTCAACAACGCGGACCCAGGGAGAGGTTGCTCCTTCCACCTTCCACCCCGGGTGCATCCACCCCGGGTGCAGGCTTCAGCTGATGCACAGGCCACGCTCGGACTGAGGCAGGCCCATGGCTTTTTCACTCTACAAAACGACCGATAAATGGTGTCTTCAACTAAGAGTCCAGCATTGTGAGGTCTGTTCCTTTCTTGACACCATATCTTGGGAAGAAAAGAGTTTATTATTATTGTCCCAACAACACGAGATCAGATATTTTACATACACGGGAGTTTCACCCTGATATTAATGTAAATTCTTTTAGGATTTCATCTTGCTTAACATTTAAACCCTTTCAACACTATAAACATTTCCTCAAAAGCTCTGATGATGTTTCCATCCTGTCTTGACGCTGGCTGGGGGGTGGTACCTGAGACCTGGCACTGGAGCAAGGCGGCCCAGGGGTCTGCATTCGTCAGCATGGTCTATCAGTCAGTCAAGTAGAACAGGTTGCGGGGAGGTCAGGGGCCAGAACGTGCCACCCACACCTGGCTTCAGGAGCGGCCTTTCGGGAGCCCAGGTGCTCTGGGCATTCCCTCAGAGGGGCAGGCGTGAGGGGAGGTGGACCCCAGCCTGCTCCCATCCACAGTGCGTGCCAGGCTGCGGAGCAGCTGGTGAACCGATAGCTCCGTTTGCCTGTTCTCTGTGTTAAATAGAAGTATAAATCCTGCACACATGCAAGAAAGCACACAGAAATTAACAAGTCGGCGCTGCAATAGAAGTGCTGAGCGCCTGGCGCCGGACGAGGAGGAAGCAGGCACTGCGTCAGTGCCCCAGGTGGCCTCAGCCCTCGTAGCCCTCAGGGGCTGGGGTCTTCAATGGCCCCGAAACCTCCAGAGCCACAGGCCCAGAAAGAGGACTGGTGTCTTTAACAAAACTGTTTTGATTTAGAAATAAGACAGACTCGCTGCTTAAATACCTTTATTATTTTTTAAAAAAATTATTTGGACATTGATAGCTTTGCAAAATACTTCTCCCATCCCAAACCCTCAAACCTTTTCCACACATCCTCCCTAAAAAGACAAAATATTCGTACTTTGCACCCATTCACATCTAATTTTTAAAAACATATAACTCAAAATGAAATATTATTTTTCTTTTTCAGAACTCATTAGTTATTTTAAACCACAATGCAACATACTTAATGGCATTTCTTTTTAAAAATTAGCTTATCAGACTATTTTATGAGGAAAAAATCAATTCAAGGCCTTAAAGAGACTAGAAATTCCCTGTTTCTGGAAGCAGATGACATTGAAAGCCCCTGGAGTCTGTAATTCCACACTAGCAACAGCGCTGCTCCCGACGGACACCTGCTCCGGCCGGGCAGTGCGAGGTGCTTCTGGCTGCAGCCGAGGAGCTGGGAAGGGCGGGAGGATAACTCCAGCACAACAGAGCGACAGGCCGGGACCACAGGAGGGACGCTTTCTGAGCAGTGCAACGAACGCCTCTCGGCAGGCTTGCTTGGGGCAGAGGAAGATGTGGGAAATCTGCAATCTACACTAACTTCTGAATGACGAATACAAGTGTCAACAAAAATATTGCACATCATACCAGAGGCACGAAACCACTGAGAAGGCTCCAGAAAGAGTAACTGCAGATGGAGATGAGCCCCAAAGTGCCTTCGGGAATGAGCGAGAGAAAGGGAGTCCATGTGGATGGCACAGGGGTTACTGAGAGGAGGCAGAAAACAATCCCTTCCTTGTCCTCAATGGGCAGGTTTTATGCGGACAAATCTTCATCACAGATGTGTCCGAAAGATCTAAGAAAGGTATCACTTCTTCATTTTCCCCAATACAACAGGGGCACTTCATTATGTGGCTAAAAAAGGAAGAAAGAAATCCTACATAGAACCCATCTGGCTAGCTGAGCACCATCGGTGTTTGCAAATGTCCTTCCCTGGCTGTGCAACCAACCCACCAACCCACGGACCTCTCCGAGCCACGCGGAGGCCCTGACAGCTGCAGGTGGCCTCACCTCCCAGTGCCCTGCGTGAGGCCTGTATCCTTCAAGGAGCTTGCAAAATGCAGGTGATGCTTCGGAGCATGCTGCGGGGAGAGCGGAGGTGACAGGGAAGGCGCCTGTCCCTCCTTCACACTCAGGGACGCTGGCGAGCTAAACTGAGGCCGCATCACTGTCCATCAGCTGGGTTTGACCCAGACCCACATATTTGTTGCCAGAGTTTTAAAATCAAGAAAACATTTCTAACTCATCTCTGAGAATGGACACAATTCAATTCTCCACTGAAGTCACTGAGGCAGCTTTTTAGGGCTCCATAGCCCTAGCCTGACTAGATGGGTTGGTCACGCCTCTGCACAAAGCCTAGGACGGTACATCCCAGGCGCCCCAGGCTGCTGCTGCCCACACACTTCTCCCCGAAGGCTTCCCCTGACATGCACTCTCAGTAACTAGTAGTCCATATGTCATTAAAGGGCAAGTTGCTCTTGTGTAAGACTCCCAGAATTCACGTGGGCCCCGAGTCCTCACGGCCCGGGACGCGCGCCTGGCAGCGTGCTCTGCTCCTCCCACGGTGCACAGTGGGAGCCTGCGCTCTTGCACTCTGAGTCTTGTAAACCACCGGGAGGTGCCAACCCCCCCAAAGCCCTGCCCACAGCTACGGCTGCAACTGATGCTAACCTATTGAGCTTTTAAAACATGAAACAAAAACAAAACAAAACACACACACCACACACACACACACACACACACACACTTACTTTGGCACGTGAGCCTTGAGTTACTTGAGCATTTCATGTCCCTGCCCCTCCCCGTCCCAACATTTCAGTCGCTCTGTTAGGAGAATGAGGCCCTTCTGTGGATGAGAGAGATCACCATGAAGCACTGCTGTTCCGAGTCGCAAGAGGAGGAGCTACAAATGCCAAACCGGCCCCCAAGCAGTCCTCACGTTTAGCATTATACTTTATGCAATGCTGCAAAACTTCTGTACCAGGACAACCAGTTTCAAACTGCTGGTTGATTAAATATACATTTACATATAGATATAGGTATAAAAATTACTAAGTCAACATTTGCTGTTTTCAATGTGAAAACAATAAAATGTAATTCTGAATAATTGTGCCTTTACCATAAGGTCCTTGTTAAAGGGATCATAAAAATAATTTTGCAATAAAAAAAACTTTTTAAAAAAGTTTAGTATTGCCCTCAAGTTCAAAAGTTTGGAGCACATGTGCTGAGTAAGCAGGACTGGCATCTGTTCCTGCCGCGGACCTGGACGCCTCACACTGAGTGACCCCTGACGGCGGCCCGGGTGCCTGCCAGCCACGACCAGCTTGGTGTAGACCTCACGCGGCTGGGCAGCGCCAGGGGACTCGGGCGCGTTTCTCTGGCGGACGCTGCTGCAGCTCGCCCCCTCCCTGCTCGGAGCTCAGGCAGCACCCGTGCTGGGCTCTGCCTTTTCTTGAGCACCCAGACTTAAGCAACTGGGGGCGGGGTCTTGGTGAGGACCACTGAGCACCAAGGCTGAGGGTGACGGGCTGACCTTCTACTCGGCTGGAGGCAGGGATGGAGAGAAGATGGGCATTTCAGTGACACAGAAGTTAGCTGTGCAGGAAGGAAAGTGCATATAAGGTAGCTTAAGAACAGGTTAAGAGCAAACTGCCACAGAGAGGGAGGAGAATGGAGCCAACCCCCTGCCTGCGGCCGGCCTGCCCCGTGGGCTGACATCCATGCTGTCTGACGTGTCGCCCATGAAGAAACGGGCACATGTTCTCCTGGTTCCGGCAAGCACACAATTTTCTTGGCAAAGTTCTTTTTTGCCAAGTTCAGTTTTATTTGGTTGCTGTTCTGAACCACTGTCACCGGAATTCATAGATGGGTGCGCTGTGTTCAGGAACGTGCGTTAGGTTGAGCGACTGATACCTGCAGGGAGACAAACGGAGGCAGCAGTCTCAGCATCCTGACCACTGAACAGGGATGTGTGAACACCCAACCGAGCACCCAACACGCCACACACTTGCAGGGGATGCAAGCCCACCTCAGACTTCAGGTGAGCCAGGCGTGATTTACTTCTATGTCATTACTATTCCTCCTGAGTTACGCATAAAATAAGACGTTTAGGCCTCCTGCTCTAATCATGAAGCAATGCTAGTGGGTCTTATAAAAGGAGAGGCTGCGAAGCTTTGAGAGAAAACAGACTGGAGTCCTGCCTCTCTCCCTGCCGCTCATCCTGCCTCTCGTGGACGTCCAGCACCTCAGCTCCTTCTAGAAGGCCAGGCTATGATGTCCTCAGAGCTCCTGGAAACACAGGCACACCCCACTCCCTGGAACCCAAAGAGAGCACGGGAAAGAAAACCTCACCATCTACTTTCACTCTCTCGCTCCCCAGACATGGCTGTTGGACACTGAGAGCCTCAGAGAGCTCCACGGTGGCGTGTGCTTCCCTGTGGGCAGGTGCTCCTGGAGCCCAGCAGGCGAAGGAGAAAGAGGCCAGGACCACACAGGGGTGATGACCCCCAGGGCAATTAGAGTGCTGGTGTGGTGCTAGCTCTCCCCTGACTTGTTTCACACAGAGAGAGGAGGAGCACAGCAAGAAGCAGTTTATTTCTTACCCAGAAAATCATCAAGAAAGGATTATGCATTGGCCATCAGAGGGTACTATAATCATAAGCCATCATAACAAGTATTGCTGAGGATATGGAGAAAGTAGAAAAATTGTGACCGGCATGCATTGCTGATGGGAAATGCAAAATGGTGTAGCTGCTGTGGAAAATGGCACAGCTGCTTTTTGGTGGCTCCTCAGAAAGTTAAAAATAGAATTACCAAATGACCCAGCAGCTCTCCTCCTAGGTGTGTGCCCAAAGGAATTGAAAGCAAGAACTCAAACAGATACTTGTGCATCCATGTTCAGAGCAGAATTAGTCACCGTGGCCAAAAGGTGAAAGCAGCACAAGTGTCTATCAATGGATGAATAGACAAACAAATGTGGTCTATATCCTTACAATGAAAAACCACTCAGCAATACATATGAAGTACTAATACACGCTACAGAGTGGCTGAACCTCCAGGCCATTACGCTAAGTGAAAGAAGCCAGGCACAAAGGCCACACAGTGTCTGATCCCACTTCTATAAAATACCGAGAACGGGCAAATCTGTAGAAATAGAAAGCAGGTCAGTGGTTGCCCGGGGCTGGGATGGGATGGGGTGTTGGAGTGATAGCTGAGGGAGCACAGGGTTTCTTCCTGTGGTGATAAAAATGTTCTAAAATTGATGATGGTGATGGTTGCACAACTCTTAATATACTAAAGGCCACTCGGAGCACCAAAGCCCCATCGAAGCAAGTCTAGCCCCAGAGGGGTGTCTCCAGCACAGAAGTTCTCCCACTGCAGACACAGCTGATTCTCACAGCCAATTGGCCTGGAGGTCAATTCCTCACAGTGATAACTACAACAATCAAGGCTTAATTACAACAAGACTGTGCACAAAGCCCACAAGGGGGTGCACCAAGAGTGTCTACCTCAGGTAATTGGGACACTTAGCACAGAAAGGCACTCTATCGACACAGCGAAGCATAAAAAATGCCGAGACAAAGAAACAGGACACAAATGACAGAAATGGAGGAAAGCAAACTGCTGGATATAGAGTTCAAAACCACACTTTTAAGGTCTTTAAAGAACTGTCTAGAAGCCGCCGATAAATTTAATAAGGCCCTCGAAAAGACTGGTGAGACCGCCGATAAATGTAGTGAGATCCTCAAGAAATCTAATGAGACCCTCGATGTTGTGATAAAGGATCAACTAGAAATTAAGCATACACTGACTGAAATAAAGAACATTATACAGACTCCCAACAGCAGACCAGAGGATCGTAAGAATCAAGTCAAAGATATGAAATACGAAGAAGCAAAAAACACCCAACCGGAAAAGCAAAATGAAAAAAGAATCCAAAAATACGAAGATAGTGTAAGGAGCCTCTGGGACAGCTTCAAGCGTACCAACATCCGAATTATAGGGGTGCCAGAAGAAGAGAGAGAGCAAGATATTGAAAACCTATTTGAAGAAATAATGACAGAAAACTTCCCCCACCTGGTGAAAGAAATGGACTTACAAGTCCAGGAAGCGCAGAGAACCCCAAACAAAAGGAATCCAAAGAGGACCACACCAAGACACATCATAATTAAAATGCCAAGAGCAAAAGACAAAGAGAGAATCTTAAAAGCAGCAAGAGAAAGACAGTCAGTTACCTACAAGGGAGTACCCATACGACTGTCAGCTGATTTCTCAACAGAAACTTTGCAGGCCAGAAGGGAGTGGCAAGAAATATTCAAAGTGATGAATACCAAGAACCTACAACCAAGACTACTTTATCCAGCAAAGCTATCATTCAGAAGTGAAGGCCAGATAAAGAGCTTCACAGATAAGAAAAAGCTAAAGGAGTTCATCACCACCAAACCAGTATTATATGAAATGCTGAAAGGTATCCTTTAAGAAGAGGAAGAAGAAGAAAAAGGTAAAGATACAAATTATGAACAACAAATACACATCTATCAACAAGTGAATCTAAAAATCAAGTGAATAAATAATCTGATGAACAGTATGAACTGGTGATTATAATAGAATCAGGGACATAGAAAGGGAATGTACTGACTATTCTTGGGTGGGGGGGAAGGGGTGTGGGGTGAGGGAAGAGTCTGGACAATAATCGTGCACCTATGGATGAGGACAGTGGGTGGGGAGTGAGGGTGGAGGGTGGGGTGGGAACTGGGTGGAGGCGAGTTATGGTGGGAAAAAAGAGTAACTAATGTAATAATCTGAACAATAAAGATTTAATTAAAAAAAAAAGGCCACTCACTGCACTGTATGCTTTATGATTTATATCTCAATAAAGCTATTATTTGAAAAAGAATAATGAAAAGTTTTAAAAACTCCTTTTGAAAACAATTTATTGAAATCCTAATAATTGTGGCTCTCAGAGGAACTGGGACCACCCTGAGCCCAAGGGCACTGAACAAGATAGTTGAGTCAACCCAGGGTAGGGTCACTCACAAGTCACCAAAGTGTGAAAACTTTGAAAGGAAATAAGGTCATTCTATATTCAGAGAAGAAATCAGGTATTTTATGAAATCGTTCGCCCTTCAGGTATAACAAGATGCTTAAAAAGCAGCAAGGAGGCAGGAGAGTCCTCAAAAAGGTGTCAAAAATGAGCACTTGCAGTGGCATTGGGTCGTTTACCTCGAACCAAACACAGGGCAGGACTGTCAACTCCCACAGGCCCCTCGGTCACCAGGCTAAAATCAAGTGCACAGGGACCTGCAAATGCCTGTGACCAGGAATGTGACCAACAAAATTAAAAAGACTGCTGACAGCAAAATTCAGTCTGCAGCTGGATCTGCCATTTTAGTTGCAGATTAAATTTGGGAGGAATAAGTACAAACCCAGCAAGACTGAGATAAACATTGCTGAACACACAGCAGTGCCGGCACGCACTCTGCAGTGAGTGCTTTCACCTCGCGCTGTTTCTGTCCCATTCACTCAGCTCTGTGGATGGGGATGAGCGCCAGTGTGAGCAGCTGAGACCATCTAACGAGGCCCCCAGAATCCACACGGCGTGGCAGTCACGCAGAGACCGGCACAGGTTTCCTTTGGGATTCGGTGAGCCCAATGAGAGCTGGGGGGCTCGGGGCCTCCTTACCATTCTGAGCTCCTATGGTAATAGTAGCCCTCTATGGAGGCTGCCGACTTCTGGAAGCAGATGTAGTAGAACCCGGCAAAGGAAGCACCGCTGATGTCTTTGATTGTGTGGTCTGGGACCAGGAACTGTTCCTGCACGCAGATGGGGAAGGTCAGTTACAGCATCCTCCTCGCAGCTCTGGAGCCTCCTTAGCCATCAGACGGCTCTAAGGCTCCACCATCACATGGTCTAGCCCGGAGGTGCATTTTCTCCCACCGTGTGAACAGCATTCGTAGGCCATTCGAGCATCCTACTTACTACTACAGAAAGCTGTGTCTGGAGCTCACTAGGATCAGCACCAAGAGAAGGTGCCATGGTCCACACATCTGGTAAATGAATCAATACCTATCTAATTACCTACCTTTCAGAGCTCACAGGCAGGACGACCTGTGGAGAAGTCTGTGCTCCACTTCAGGAACTCTCACTAGTTCCTGATCGCCTCTAGAACAGTGGGTCACTTCTATTGGCCTGTGGATCACTCTGAGGGCAGCTCAGTCATCAGTAGCCCTTGTAATACCCCCTTCAAAAGGTCTACACCTCATCAAAAGCAACCAGAACGTTCCTGTTCTTGGTCAGGCACTTGCAAAAGGTAAGCTTTTATCTCTGGTTGGAGCCAAGAGTGGAAAGGCTGCATCCTATTACCTACTCTTCTGGGGAGACAAGGTCAGAGGTCAGGGCCCGGGGAGGTATAAAAGCCTCTGGTGAGTCACCCTGAGAAATTCTCTGCAGAAAGCACAACCATTGCTTTTTGGATCTTTCCTCAAGCTCTGAAATTGCAATTTTAAAAATTAATTTTAAAATTAGAACCATACAAGATACTTCTTTTAATGTGTTATTTATATGGCTTATCTCCAGTAGATGGCAAGCTCACGAGGGCAGGGCTCAGTACATGGCAACTCTCCTGAAAGGGTAATGATCTCCATCCCCAAAACTATTAACTGCACAAAGTAAAGGCTAGGAATGACTACTCTCCATGTTTTGTGCATGTGAAAGCCAGCAAAATTTCATGGTAAAACAGCTGTTTCCTTTAGACTGGGGAGTAGGGCTTGGAGGGAGGTATATGTTCACAAAGTGACTTACAAACTTGCTCCATGGTTTTACTGTCCTATGGCCATAACACAGCAGTTATCATGCTACCAAAGCAGGGAGCACATGTGACTTCTCTGCCCAAAGCCAATCCACGGAGTCCACCTCCCTGGCAGAGTTCTCGGGCTGGTGAGTGGAAAACCTGAATTCCATTCCTGGTCCCTCATTTCCTGAGCTGGAGGGAACCAGCGGAGCTGAACTGCGCTGGGTGAGCCCTGCACAAGCCATGGTGACGGAGCAGTCACTGACATGGCATGCCAGCCCATGGCTGAGAAGAGGGGATGGACAATGACTAAGTTTAAAGAGCACTAGGCTCTCCCCTGAACCCACAGAACACTAAGGCTCATTCAACTTGGAGGGCCCCAGGGATTCCTGGGGGGAGAAAGGAGGGAGAGGACATGAACACCAGTGTCGGGGTGAATTCACTGCTACACTGCACAGCTTAACCAGAGCAAACCCGTGCGGTGTCAGCTGTGAACCGGTGTGCCTCGGAGCTGTGCCTGCCTCTCATGAGTGTGTAGAGACCCGGCCAAGAAGACAAAACTGTAGCAAGCACTGGACACGGGAGCAGATGGGGGTTCCCTACAGGAGCCGCACAGTCGGAGAGCCGCCCGCAGGGGCTTACCTTCCACCGCATGAAGACATAATCCCCATTCTTCAGCTCTTCATAATCAAAGTCATCTGAATTAAAGGATTTTGCATACTGATAAAAAGCCAGGAACTTGCCCTGAAAGCAAACACGAGAGGAAGAGACTAGGGTAAGAGGAGGTTGGGGTCAGGGCTTCCCTCCTGCCAGGTGCAATCGCCCTCTCAAGGGCGGCGGCTGAGCACTGGGAGAGGAGTCTTTGGTCGCCCCACTGATCAGGCCTGGCCTCTGGATGGAACCGGCACAGCCCGCTCAGGGACCTTGGCCTGAGGAAGCGGCAGGATGGAAACACACAACCCAGGAGCCTGTTCCCAGAACACGTCACTGCAGACAAAGCCGGAAGCAGTGGAAAGATCTCTGCGGCCTGAGGCAGGCAGGCAACCAAGAGAGGGCCGGCCGACGCGTGGGTAGAGACTGGATAGGGCAGTGTATGGTTAAGTTTAAAAAAAGGAGACTAAAATAGGTTACAAAACTGTATCTTATGATCTCAGTTTTATAAAAAAAAGTATAGATATTCAAATGAGATTCAGGAAAAGGTTCATACCTGTTTTAGCTTTAGGTATTGTCCTTATAGACAATTTTTTTTCCTTTTGCTTTTCCATTTTTTCAAATATTTTAAAAACAAAAATGTATAGATTCTACAAGAAAACATCTTAAAAAATGAGGATATAGAGATATTAACCCTTTGCGGTTCAATTTTATTTTTGGAATTCAAACAGTCTGGTCCAAATTAATTGACGGGATTGAATGTTGAACCGGTTTGCGGTGTCGACCTCAGCCTCGACGCTGGACCTGCTCCTAGCGCCTGGTCTGTCGAGTCAGCCTCCACGATGGACTGAAAAGGGTTAAGTCACAGAGTTTGTTACACAGATAAAGCATATGGAACCGTGACTTTGTAGTCCCTTTGTAATACCTACTTAAAATACCGCTCAGGAAAATCTGAGGGTGCAATACAATGTTTCTGATTCCAGTTCACAATGGAAAAAGGATATGAGGGGTGAGGTTTATCAGACACTATTAATCCCTGACAAACAAAGGCACAACATAGGCCTCCGGGAGTGCTCTGCGGGACCTGAGAGTTCTCCTGGGCTGGGAAAGCCATGGAAAACGCTGTGGGCTGCGGCCTGCAGGTCCCGCCATCATCTTCCCATGCCTAGCACACCAGTGCCAGGGTGGCCTTCTCCGTCCCTCTTTCACCCAAAATGTTTCAAGCTAGCCTAACAGAGGCTGGAGTCCCAGATGCTTTCCAGGGTCCTAATGGGAAGGCAATGGGGAATAAGAGCTGCTTTGCAGGTATTTAATGTGCAACCAATCCAGCCTAAAACTAAGGCTTCCCTGGGCCCCAAAGACCTTGCTTTCCGCAGAACCAATCTGAGATGGAAAACGAAGCTGAATGGGAGACAAACTGTGGTTCATGACAAGGAAGAACCCTGTCACTGGGCTGCCCAGGAGAGGAAGGGGCCCCCTGACAAGGTGGCATGCCGTACACAAAGAGTCGGCATTGGGCGGGGGAACCAGGTGGTGCCAAAGAGCCCTCCAACACTTCTTTCTGACACTGGCACCATTGGCCCCAACCTTTTGGATACTCAAATCTTGTTCATTTTCTCATATTATAGAGAAACGAATGACTAACCCAGACGAGGGTCTGCAGTAGGAGTCTTCGGCAAGGCCTGTTGGGCCAGATTCAGGAGAGAGTCTTAGAATCTTCCTTACCAACACAAGCAGTCATTTCTGGTTGGCTTAGAGGGTGAACACAACAGACTTGCTCAGTGTTAACCCAAAATTCATCGTTGCCATGGTCAACTAAGCCAAAAGGCTATGACAACAGGCTGAGAAATGGATGTGTGTGACAACTGAAGGAAAGACTGGAGGACAGGAACTCTACGCTGCTCACTGCTGCTGAATGGAGCATGCCGCCCTGGCTGGTTTGGCTCAGAGGACAGAGCCTCAGCCTGTGGACTGAAGGGTCCCGGTTTCGATTCCGGTCAAAGGCACAGGCCTGGGATGCGGTCTCAATCCCCAGTAGGGGTCGTGCAGGAGGCAGCTGATCCATGATTCTCTCATCATTGATGTTTCTATCTCTCTCTCCCTCTCCCTTCCTCTCTAAAATCAATAAAACTTTATTAAAAAAAAAGAGAGAGAGAGAGAGAGAGAGAGAGCATGCCCACAGCTGACAGCTGCAGGGCGGAGACTGTGCCTGTTTGCCAGGAGCTGGGTAAGAAGAGCCCCCTGTGGTGTGGCCAAGGGGAGGGGCAGCTGTTCAGGAACTGCATCTCCACCTCATCCCCTGAGTCAGAGGCCATCACTGTACCTTTCACAGGATTCCCCCCAAGGACAGCAGGTGAGAAAGGAACCGTGGACAGGAGGTGGACAAACAGAAAGGACAGGGAGACGTGATAAGACCCTGAGCACCACGTTCCTGGGCTCTCCTCGGTGGCCCAGGGCAATCAGAGACTGACTCACCCAATGTTTCCGATCAACATCTTCATCCGCATCCCACTTTCGAGTTAAGAAAGGGTGTTTTTGGCTGATTATTTCTCCTTCAAAGAAGGTCGTAAGGGTTGGGTACTCCTATGGTCAAAACCCAAACATCAAAAACAAGATGTTAAACAGGAGTTTTAACCTTTACAAAGGAAAATTAGCCTCAATTTCACTTCTTCCCCGTACTTCCAAAAAAATGATCCCACCGCTAACCAACAATAAGCAGAGTTCGGCTGGCGGTCTGCCGATGCTGTGGACACCGGAATGGAGGGGCCGAGGCGGGGAGCCCCGGGCTTTGGGCTTTGCCGGAGCAGAGAGCCCTTCTGTGACTTCCCTTACGTGTTGATTGCTCAACAAGGAATCTGGACGATTCCCACAAGTGAGTTCTGAATACTCCAGCACACAAAGAAGATGGTAACTAAGCAGACTGCACTTTCCAAGGAAAACACCCAAAGAGCCTCCAAAATTCGAGCCTTCACAGCTGTCTCCCTCAAGCTGAGACCTCGCCCACTGGTTCAGTGTTTTGTCCCTTTTATGCCAATTCTTCAATTTTCTAGGGGTGAATTTTTTTGTAGAATACCTTGATATACTAGATACATTTAATTCTATCATCATATAAACAAAGATGATTTATACTAGGAAATACATGTAAATTAGGTCTGCAGTGGAAAGTCACAACCAGAAAACAATTCTGCTGGAAAAAATAAGTAAGTGGTGCCCCTGCCCGAGTGCTTAGATGCTCCTGCTTTTTACTGCTATGTGTTCACTGGCTAATGAGGCACCAACTCAATGGAAGAAAAAGTGACACAGTAAAAAGTCTACCGTTTCTCTGCATTTGTAAAAAACCCACCCACCCACGCCTCTGCCCAGCCTGCTGGCCGCTGTTTCTCGGGAGCCCGGTGGTGACGGAGCTCTGCGCACCAGTTCACAGCCCCCTCCTGGGGCCAGAGGTCCTGCTTTCTTCTTCAGTCCCCATGTGGGACCCTCTGCTCTGCAGCAAACACCCACACAGATTTAAAGTAAATCTGTTCTGACGGCTTGGCCTCTTCTCCCGGCTCGACTTGCCACGCAGCGCAGGACCTTCCTGAGAGATGCTGCCCACAGACCCAGGGGTGGCCGGGAGACGGCATCGCCGCCACGCTGCCACGGCTGCGGCCTGCTGCACGGCATACTGTTCTCAGCAGTAAACTTCCAAAAAGCAGAAATTTAACACCCCCAAACCACAACTCCCTTACCCAACCATGCTGCTGGGTTCTCCATGCAGATATTTATATAAACAGAGTGAAGAAAGAAAATGGAATAAATGGAAACCTCATTTTAAAGGTAAAACCTAAATTACACTAATCTGTTTTAGGAAAAAATACTAAGGAGAAAAAGTTAGCATCTGACTTGAGATTTTAAATTAAGCTATATAATAAATAATAATACAAGAATAAACTCTGAACCCTGGCTGGGTGGCTCAGTTGGTTGATCACTGTCCCATGCACTGAAAGGTCGTTGGTTGATTCCCAGTCAGGGCACATACCTGGGGTGCGGGTTCGATTCCTGGTCGCGTTATGTACAGAAGGCAGCCGATCAATGTTTCTCTCTCACATCAATGTTTTTCTCTCTCTCTCCCTCTAAAAATCATTAAAACATATTTAAAAAAAGAATAAACTGTGTTTTGCATACTCATAACTGTAATTTTCTGAGTTTCAAACTTTAATATATTTTTTAACACTTCCTTAAAAGAGACAGAAAAAAATGATAAAGTGGTCCTACTTAATGCAAAAAATATTCATATGGTTCAAATTACATTTTCCGAATGAATGATTCTGCACTGACTTCTCCCTAAAATACTTTAGGCAGTATACCAGGACTATAAGGTATCCCAAAACTCACAGAAGTAAATAAAATACATAGTGAATGACAACATGTACAGAAGTTACCAAAAATATCTCTTAGTGCAGGAACAGGAAACGCAAGCACCTGAATACAGCCAAATTGGTGGTAATTCATAGAGCCAAGGAACAACTGTCAGCAGAAGGAAAGCAGGAATATCAGAAAACCGGTCAGAGTGGCAGAGCCAGCACCAACCCCAACCCTCCGAGCAGGTGCCTGCTTCTTGTGGTGGGTGGGTGGTGGCCAGACAAGGAAGTTCTACCTCCGACCCCGCTCACTGATTCCAGGCTCACCAAACAGTCTGCTGATAGGTTTGGCTTTCCATGTAGACCTGCCTTCTGGGGAATCAACATTCAACTAGCCAGGAAGTCAAAGGGAAACTCCAGAACTTGCATGTGCCTCCTTGGTAAGTACACGGACCAGCACTGTCACATACGGTCTCTGCGAGGGTGGTCAGTGCGACCTCTCCCCCTTTGCCCAGTGAGTTTAGCACCACCTCACTGGGAACTTCCTAGCCTTCCAACCTGGTCTAGTGAATGAGCGAAGTGTCTGAGTGACTCCCCCAGTGTGGCTCGTCCTGGCCTGTGCCAGCTGCCAGCTGCCTGCCAGCTGCCTCCCCAGGGACAATCCTTCTCCCTACTGCTGAGTCAGAGTTGCAAAGAGAATGTTATTTGACACCCATTCTGCACAATTCTGGGGTTTCATTTCCAGAGGTACATAACCTTTAAAGCTGTGCTTGTTTGTGAACGTGAGCTAGCAAAGAGGCAATTACCGCCAATTTAACAGTTCCATATTGTAAATACAAGGAGGACTCTAACTAAAAACCAAGCCATTTAAATAGTTCTATTCACAGCTATAAATGGAAAAGCAAACAAAAATGGATAACTGCATTTCATAATACAGGTATAAAATATTCTAGGAATTGTCACCCTTTCTGCATTTTACTAATTATTATTAAGACATTGCACAACACCATGCCTATAGTAAGAGCCAGTGAATAGTACATTTTAAATGGGTAAAGTGTATGGTATATAAACTGTATCGCAGTAAAGTTACTAAAAAATGGTTTTAAAAAAGGTGAATTCAAAAAATCCTGAAATGGAGTGTGACTTAGAAACCTCTGACTGAATGCCATCCCAGCGCCATCTCTGAGTCCACCACCCCTGGGGCAGGCCGGAAGGACCACCCAGGAGGGTGATCTCCAAGTCCCAGCCACAAAGCCGGGCTGCCCTGGGCTGGCCTCCTTGGTGAGTGCTCACGCCTCGGAGGTGGCCCCTTCACTAGGGTTACTGTTCCTGAAAGTTCATTGCATTTCTGTACATTGTTTGGGGATTGTTAATGCTACTTAGCATTTCTGTGCAGCTTTCTATCACTAAAATGACTGATTTTTAGAAGCAGCAGTAAATATTCTAAATTACAAATGTTCCTGGTTTCCTTCTGAAGTTAAATGTTGATGTTCTGCACTCAATTAATTTGGCTGTCTAAGAGTTGAACATACTCTATTTACTATGTTTTCTGCTACCACAGATTCAAAGGTTAGCATCCTTCATTTTCCTATCATTTTCAATCTCTGCTTGACTGGATGTGTTTCCAAAGGGGATGAAGAGAGTACCTTTTCATCTCAATAACAAACTTCACAGGAAATTCTCAACCACACTTCTTTTTTGTTTGTTTTGTTAATCCCCATCAGAGGATACTTTTTCCATTGATTTTTACAGAGTGGACGAGAGGGAAGGGAAGGAAGAGGAAGAGACAGAGACAGAGACAGAGAGATCAGTTGCCTCCTGCATGCACCCGACCAGGGCGGGAGATTGAACTTGCAACACAGGTTCGAACCCATGGCCCTTTGATGGGAGGGCCGACACTCACACCAGCCAGGGCTTAACCAAATTTCTTTCTTTCTTTCCTTCCTTCCTTCCTTCCTTCCTTCCTTCCTTCCTTCCTTCCTTCCTTCCTTCCTTCCTTCCTTCCCTCCCTCCCTCCCTCCTTCCCTTCCCTCCCCTCCCCTGCCCTCCCCTTCCTTCCTTCCTTTCTATATATTTTATTGATTTTTTTACAGAGAGGAAGGGAGAAGGATAGAGAGTCAAAAACATCGATGAGAGAGAAACATTGATCAGCTGCCTCCTGCACACCCCCTACTGGGGATGTGCCCGCAACCAAGGTACATGCCCTTGACCGGAATCGAACCTGGGACCCTTCAGTCTGCAGGCCGACGCTCTATCCACTGAGCCAAACCGGTTAGGGCTCTTTCTTTCTTTTTAATATTTTTAAAATTGATTTCAGAGAGGAAGGGAGAGGGAGAAAGAGAGAGAGAGAAACATCAATGATGAGAGAGAATCATTGATTGGCTGCCTCCCGCATGCCTCCCACTGGGGATGGAGCCCGAAACTGGGGCAGGTGCCCCTGACCAGAATCGATCCCGGGACCCTTCAGTCCACAGGCCGACACTCTATCCACTGAGTCAAACCAGCTAGGGCTCAACCAAATTTCTAATACAGAAGAGGAGAACCAGATGGCATCAAGGAGACAAACAATTGTTTTGAGACTAAGGGGTCATCACGCCTTATTAGTATTCCATATTGTATTCCATTATAATCTACCACTGATGTTACATTGCTTCCTCCTCACTAGGACAAGCTCCTTGACTAGGCAGAGTAGGTATTTTTAATTCTTACTTTATACATGAATAAACTGAAGGGAAATTAAACGTCATGGGACCAGAAAGGGACACTACGAGAAAGTCATCCAGCTCCTTTCCACAGCATTTCCAAACACCCTGGCATCGGGACAGTGAGAGCTGGGCAGGTGCACAGCACACGCAGCCAGGCCAAGCCCAGGCCTTCACTGTGGAGTGAGGTGGCCAGTCCAGTTACCTCCTTCCTCTTCCTGTTTACTTACTAGTGGGAAAAGAAAGGATGCTCTTTCTTTCTTCCTATATTTCCAGGAGTTTTGAGGTTTACAAAGTTGGTTCAAAGAAAACACAACAGTCTACAATGATATAGAAGCTAATTTCTGTTAGGAAATGGATGACCACTTTCCATTGTTCCAGTGAACTAAGGGGTTGAAAGAACTTCAAGAACTCTCAAAGGATTGATGCTTATTTCAGAAATTGTTAAACTTACGAGGGTGATAGCTATATTCTTACTATATATTACTTTCTCAAAAATGGTAAAAATGAAATCAATAGTATTAGTCACATTTGACTTATTTATAAACTTTAAAGATTTGCGAATCTGTATACTTTCCAACAGGACACACAAAGACTGCATGCTTTATGCTACCTATAGTGTAACAACACTTAGAAACAGGGCACCTTAATCAAGCCTCAGAGACGAAACTGCCTGCCATTCACACTGAGACTGCCGAGCGCAGCCCGCTTCCTAGTCCGTGTGAGTGAGTGCTTACCTCAGTAAGGCCTTTAATCTTCAGGTACCCACAAAGGTAAGAGTTCCCCGTGTCCACATGCTGGAAAGAAAGGACACACAGCCTCGTTACAAATGGAGGAGCCACCGGGAGACAAGCAGGAGTCACTTTCCAGTGATCATCCTTGAGACGAAGTCGAGCAAGGGAGACCTGCAGATCAGGGCCCACCCAGTGCAACCAGGGTCAGCTGCGAGTCTTCTCCATCCACGTGCCGGTTCAGATGAAGCTCAACTTCATTCGGCTGAATATCATGAGACCCAAGTCCCCTTCTGGACTAGCAGCTCGCTCCAGCCCCATCTCTGTACTGTCTTCAATCCAGGCTCCCTTCTGACACAGATTTTGTGCGTCCCTGGCCAGTAGGCCTCCCTTTCTACCTGTACACATGGTGTCATTCCTAACCTGGGCTTCATCTGCTTTCTAATGCTTTTTTGGCCTACTTTTGCCTCCATGCTGCTCGGTCACTGGTCTAACAAGTCCACTGTATTTACATTAAGCACATCTTGCATTATTTATGAAATGGGCAGAATATTTAGGGAAGGCATCTTTCAAAGACTTATGTGGTATAAATTTGTTATACCCCAAATCAGAATACACCGTGCATGCCTGCTCTGCTCTCTTCATGCACAGCTACTTGTATTTCTTGAAGAGAAGAGCCTAAAATAAATAGGAGTAACAGGTGTAGATTTTGAGGTTTAGCAGCCACCCAACACCCAATTTCCTACTTTTCCACACTGGCAGGACCTAGATCCTGTACTGGCACCAACCCTGGCCCTGCAAGACCTGCTAACCCCTGATGGCTCCAAGGCAAACATGTGCCCCAGCCCCTGTGAGCTGTCGGTTTAGGGGTGACTCAGTTCTGGCCAGTGGATGTGTGCATGTCTCCTGGGTGCAGCTGGGAGATACTCTGGCTGCTGGAGAGGCTCTTTTCTCCCCCTTGTGGTGGCAGTATCTGCATGCAGTGCCCGGCCCGGGGCAGTCGTCTAGATATTATGAGGAGAAACAGGCTGGGAAATGCCAAGGATGGCAGCACGGAAAGACGGAAAGAAATGGGCCCCTGAATGAGCCAATTGGGAACCAAGCCACCTCTCAATTTCTTGTGATGTGAGATAATGGGTCCCCTTTTCTCTAAGCTACTCTGAAATGGTTACTTGCAGCTGGATGCATACTACTAGTGCATTTTACCTCAATCTATACAGAGTCATCCCGAATAGGCAGATTTTTCAGATTTTATGACAATTGGATTAATTTACAAAGTAAAACCCTGGAATTAAAGCAAAATAAAGTACAATGGTGCTGTAGCACATTGACATTTTAATGTGAAATGAGTTCTCATTTTAAGACACTAGAAAAGTTTTGTGGAATTCATCAGATTTGGGGACTCAACTACTTCCAATTACACAGTAAATCAAATACTAAGGCGATCCTCAAAAACTGTAATGAACTCACTCAGCCAGATGAGGTCAGCACCAAAGCAAATGGGCTTCAGCGAAACTAAAGTGCTCCCAGTTTGGAGCTGGTGACCAAAGTATTCCATGTGAAAACTGCCAAAGCATTTTAAATATCCCATCTGCTGGCCCTGGATGTTATCTGAAGCAGCTGATCCGAACTAATGTGGTTCTGCACAGAACTTTTATTAAAAGATACACAACTCTAACCTGAGGCCTTAAATTTCATGTATGCAATTCTCACTGAATTCAATATAGTTTGGGGTTTCACAGCTGCTGGAAGGATATCAGGTGGCAAAGATACTTGCTAATAAGATTAAAACTTAAACCACAAATTGGCTAACATTTTGCATGGATTATCACAAGAATCAGAATTTCAATTTGCCTTCCATTCAACCATGTGTCTCTCCCATTTTGCCCAAACTGATCGTGGTGACGGTTGGTGAACTCAAATGCACCCAGTGTAGAGGCTTTAACCAAAGACAGGCCAGCATCTCAGTGAGAAGAGTAAGGCAAATGTTTAGCAAGAAGGTCTCACAGCACAGTTGTACCCAACAGCTGCTTTTTTTTTTTTTTTTATATTTTTTTTATTGCTTTTTTACAGAGAGAAAGGGGGAGGGATAGAGAGTTAGAAACATCGATGAGAGAGAAACATCCATCAGCTGCCTCCTGCACACCCCCCACTGGGGATGTGCCCGCAACCAAGGTACATGCCCTTGACCGGAATCGAACCTGGGACCCTTCAGTCCGCAGGTTGACGCTCTATCCACTGAGCCAAACCGGTTAAGGCAACAGCTGCTTTTTTTAAATATTCCTCTCACACTGACCCTGGCCCTCACTTTACTCTTGGCTTCTTAGATGGCAGAAGAGATAAACAACAACAACAACCACCCCAGTCAGAATCTCACAAAGTTTGAGGAACTCTTTAAACTGGAATCTCAAAAAGAGAAAGCACTCCAAAGAGCACAGGCAGAGCTGAGCAACATCATCATTCGTCAGGGAAATGCAACTCCAAACCACAATGATGATACCACTTCACACCCTAGAGCAGACAAAAAAAGACCGTACCCTTTTATGTAATGATGTTTACTTTGAATTTATAGTAGTTCACACAAACATTCCATCCATGCTTTTGTTCCGGCCCTCTGGTCCAGTTTAAGAACCCATTGTGGCCCTCGAGTCAAAAAGTTTGCCCACCCCTGGACTAGAGGTTGGCTGCAATAAAAAAGATGGACACCAGCCAGTGCTGGTGAGGATGTGGAGCCACTGCCACCCTCATCACTGCTGGTGGGAATGTAAAACGGTGCAGTCACTGGAAAGCAGTCTGGCAGTTTCTCAAAATGTTCAACAGAGTTACCATGTGACCCAGCAATTCCACTCCTAGGGATCTATCCAAGAGAAATGAAAACACATGTCCACACAAAACCTGTACATGTATGCTCACAGCAGCATTATTCGTAACAGCCAAAAAGGGGAAACAACCCAAATGCCCCTCAACTGATCAGTGGATAAGTAAAATGTTGTATGCCCACACAATGTATTATGCAACAATAAAAAGGAATGAGGCAGACACATGCTGGGATATGGGTAAATCCTAAAAACACGCTCAGTGGAAAAAGCTAGACTCAAAAGGTCACATATTGTACAATTTCATTTACATGAAATGTCCAGAATAAGCAAATCTTAGAAAAAAATTAGTGGTTGCCTAGAGTTGGAAGGGGTTTGGGGTTTCTTTTCAAGGTGATGAAAATTAGATTGCAGTGACGTATACAACTTCTGTGAATATACTAAAAGCTATTGAATTGTACACCTCAAGTGGGTGACTCTTATGCTAAGTGAATTATCCTATATAATAACTCTAATATGCAAATCGACTAAATGGCAGAACAACCGGTCACTATGACGCACACTGACCACCAGGGGGCAGACGCTCGATGCAGGAGCTGCCCCCTGGTGGTCAGTGCGTTCCCACAGGGGGAGCGCTGATCAGCCAGAAGCTGGGCTCGCTGCTCCTTAGCTCTGCCTCGGAGGCAGGAGAGGCTCCCACCACTGCCACTGTGCTCGCCAGCTGTGAGCCTGGCTTCTTACTGCAGGCGGGCGGTAAGGAGCAAGGGGTCCTGGACTGCGAGAGGGCCTAAGCCGGTAGTTGGACACCCCCGAGTGGTCCCAGACTGCGAGAGGGCACAGGCCAGGCTGAGGGACACCCCCCCTGCACTTCCCCCCTCAGTGCACGAAATTTCGTGCACCGGGCCTCTAGTATCTAAATAAAGTTGTTGTGCCCTAGCCAGTTTGGCTCAGTAGATAAGAGTGTCAGCTCTTGGACTGAAGGGTCTCTGGTTTGATTCTGATCAGGGGCACATCTCTAGGCTGCAGGCTCGATCCCCGGCGCCCAGGTCAGGGGTGTGTGCAGGAGGCAACCAATCGATGTGTCTCTCTCACATCATGTTTCTCTCTGTGTGTCTCTCCCCTTTCTTTCCACTCTCTAAAAATCAATAGAAAAATATCCTCGGGTGAGAATTAACAAAACAAATACATAAAAATAAACAAAGCTGCTGTGAAAAAGAAGAAAGAAAGCAGGAATGGGGATGCATTATAAAAGGCAGCAGTATTCTAAGAAACTAGCTCTGGCTCTAAAAACAGATGATGGGGCCATTCACATGCCACTGACTCTCAATAATGGACAAGCAGCTCACCAATCCAGACAGAGGTCAGCATTCCTGGGCATGACCACCCCCCCACCATCACCCATCAGTCATGTACCAACTCCATCACCACTTCCACTGGTTCACAAGGAAACTGGCACCTGACAGAAATCCAGAAACCACACACCAATGACAGCAGAGGTGTTGCCGCAGTAACCAGAGCGGCTTCTCTTTGACGCTTAGCTACCCTGCCAATTGGTCCCTATCACATCAGAAACCATTATATTAAACAATGGACAGAAATTCAAGATCATTCCAAAAATGACCCACACCAGGGATCTCACTTTCAGAATTTTATGATTAGTTGCAAAAAACCTTCATACTAAATTCTTACATTTCAATCACCAGGAGGTACATAATTATGAGATTACAATAAGTATCATGGCTCATAATAGAACTTTAAGTTTATGGCTCAAAGATACAATTAACATGAAGATGCAGCTTTCCCAATCCAAAAAAGGGGGCAATGATTCCCACAAAACAGTAAGGAAAGAGGCTGATGAATGCTTAGTTAGCAGAAAGAAAATGTACTCCTCCTTGTCTTTTGGGTGGGAGACCTATTTGCTCAGAAGAGAGACTGTTTAAGATTTAAATGTAAAAGGGCAAAGGGCAAGTGTATGGCGAAGACCTACACTCTGTCCTCACACATGGCAGCAGGGAGGAGCACACTAGGACCTCAGAGCTTCGGGAGACTTGCAAGGAGACCTGCTGGGAGGGGCTTTTGGAAACAGCCTAAGAGGTGGGGTGTCAGGCTAAGGACAGGGGGGCAGCGTGAGGGGGAAATGGGTTCCAGGCAAGCAACAGTAGCCACGGCGGAGGAACCTTTTTACAGGGAAGGGAGGAAAGGGGTATGAGCCAGGCCAGCTCCTCGCTGGGCATGAATGTCAGCTGCACCACCATTCGCGCGGGGTGCGGTGCAGGACCGGCGGCCGTGAAGCTGTAGTTGAAAGCTCTCAGGGGCTGACAGCAGGTGCTCACAAATCCAGGCCACATGGGGGGCGGGCAGGCTGGGAGGGGTTAGTGGGGGAAAGGGGGGCATGTAATACTTTCAACAAGAAAGTTTCAATTTAAAAAATGGGTGGGGGGGCGCCTGGAGGAAGCCTTGGCGGCGTAGATAAAAGTTAAGGACCCGCAGAGGGTCCCCTGGAGCTAGAGAGGGAGACAGGTGGGAGGTGGGAGGTCTGGG